AAAAAAAAAAAAAAAAAAAAAAAAAGGGAAAAAAAAAATTACTTCTCCCACCCACGCAGCGATGCTTAATTCAGGGAAAATAAAACCCAACAAACCCACACCCCGAGCGCCAGCTCGGTGCCGCTGGCTGCGCTCCCCCGCAGGCTCCCCCGCTGCCCGGCCCGCCGGGAGCAGGTGCTCGGCGCTGCCGCCGCCCCAGACCCCCCTCCCGACGGCGGCGGCACCTTGCGAGTCATCCCGGCTCCCCCCTCCCCGGGCGGCCGTCGGGTGTCGCTTCCCATTTCACTTGAAGATATTTTCGGGTGGCAGGAGCCGCCTCGTCATTTCCGCCAGGAGAAAAAGACACCGGCGCGGCAGCCGCGACCGCGGAGAGCCGCGGGAGCCGCCGGGCACCAGAGCGGGCAGAGCCGAGCCCGTGTCCCGCTCACCGCCGCCCAGGACCGACCTCTCGGCGGGGCCGGGAGCCGCCGCCGCTGCCCGCGGGTTCGCGGGGGCGGGAGGCGTCGGAGCGTGCCGCCCCCTCCTCCTCCTTCCTCCTCCCCCTCCCTGCCGAGCCGGCAACATGAACTGAAATCCCCAGAGAGCCACAGAGGCGGCGAGCGAGCGAGCGAGCGGAGCGGAGGCAAGCAGGGATATAGCGGCTCTCTCCTCCCGCCGCCGGGATTCCGGGCAGCGCGGTCCCTCGGCCCCGCACAGCCGAGCCCCGAGCCCGGAGAGCGGCGGCCGCCCGAGCCCCGCGCCCCCGAGCCCCCATGGCCCTCATCATGGAGCCCGTCAGTAAGTGGTCACCGAGCCAGGTCGTCGACTGGATGAAAGGTGAGGAGCGGTGCCGGGGCTGCGCGGCGCCCTCTCCCATCACCCCCCACCCCCGCCCCGCAGGTGCGGGGAGCTCCGCGGCTTCCCCCGCGCCGGGATCCCGCCTCCCGGCAGCGCCGGCTGCCCCCACGCTTTGGCTGGGGTCGGGAAGAGAGGCGGGAGGCCGTCGGGACCGCGTCGCTGGGGCCGGGGGCCGCGCTACCCCCCTGCCCCGGGCTTAGAGCGGGGGCGGCGGCTGGCGATCCCCGGCTGCCCGTAGAGCCGGGGAGAGCGCCGGGGGTGGAGGCGAGGCTGTTCCCGCGGGAGCCCGGGGTGCTCCCGAGCGGCGACCGCGGCGTGGCGATGGAGCCGCCCCCAGCACGGAGGGACGCGGGGAGCGTCCGGCTGCTTGCGGCGGGTGCGGCGGGAAACGCTCGCGAATGAAAGTTCATCCGAACGTGTTCAGCCGAACGTGCGGCGCTCGCCCGTGCTGGGGGACGGGGGGACGCGGCCGCCACCTCCCCCGCTCGGAGGGGGCCAGGGGCGCTCGGCGGGGCCGGGGCTCGGTCCGCGCCCTCGGGGGTGCCGGGGCTGTCCCCGCTCCCGGAGCCGCCGTGCCGGGCCAGGGCCTCCTCCGGCCGGGCCGGGGGCTCCGCGCGTCGGGCGGGCGCCGACCCCTTCCCGGGGGGCTTCTCTTCCAGATCCGTGATGAAGGGAGCACGAACAGTGGGCTCTGGGCTGAGTGTGCTTGCTCCGCTACTCCGCTTCTCCCGCTCCCTCTCACCTGTCCTCTCCTCGAATAAACTCCGATGGGAATAAAATTTGGAGCTTTTGGAAACGCTTTTCTTTTATTCTGTGTGCATGCCATTCTGACATGGCTTTAGTGCTGTAATGTGAAGGGGTATTTAGTTGGGTGGTTTTTGGTGTATGTGTGGTTTTTCTCCGTTGTTACCTTTAAGTTAGTCTGCAGCTGTGTTTTGAATAAATCACCATCGAGTCTTATATATCTTTTTATAAAGATAGAATGACCGGATGGGTACAAGTTTTGAACAACTGCTACATTGTGGGAGTTCTTTAGAACATGCTGTGTGCTACCAATGTGACAGTTTCATCATCCTTAAAATTTCAGGCATATAGCATATGTTTTCAGTTATTCAATCCTGGCATTTTTAGCTGGTGAGTTATAATTGTATTTAGTTACATACATAGTTTTGCAGTTTCGGAAGCATTCTCGCTCTACAGAAATTAAAAAGAATGATGTCATATTTCATATCCTGAGAAATTAGTAAATATTAATAAAAAGCTTGAAGGAGCTACAGATGATCAGTATTAAGAGCAAACAATTTTCAACTTCAATTACAGCAATTTAGCTTCCAACATTTTTACTTTAAGATAAAAGGATTGTGTAGGACTTTTTTCTAATCAGTTGTCTGAGATACCCTCCCCATAATTTGGGGAATGCATAAAAATAATGAATTTGCAGATAATGCATTTTTAAAACATCTAAAAATGTAAGACATCAAATACTCTTCATAAATGACAGGTGAAGTGCATTGCATACTCTGCTTTTGTATTATATTATTATGAAGTCAGTAATTTGAAAAGAACAGGCTAAATGGTAGCATTAGAAATTGTGCTGCTGGATAAGGGTTTGTAGTTAGAAACCTGTGACTAACACTCAGAGCTGTAGATCTTTTAGAAATAATAATGTAAACTTTACCAAAAAAGAAAAAAGCAGTTATTGCAGTCATGCCCACTTTCTGGAATACGAAACCTGCTTTTTAGTGTTTACCCTGGGTGTTTTTTTTGCCTGAATGTTTGATTGTTTCTCTGGAGGACTTCCATTTTTACGGAGTGAATGCATATATGTTGCTTCAATGCTTCCATTTCTTCATTTTGTATTCTGTGTAGCACGTGAACCTTGACTTAGGTGGTGCAAGGAGATGAAGCACCTGCCTGTGACTAGCACTCTTGGAGGAAAACCACCTAGGTGGCCTCCAGTTTCCAAAGTTGAGCCTGGAAACGAGTATGACCAGTAGCTGGGGGCAGGTTTGCTCCTGCCTGATGGGTCACACCTTGCTGAGTTTGGAGAAAGGATGGAAGTGGATAAGGGCAAGCAGTCTTTGCTGCAAGAACTTTGTTTTCCTTACTTATAACGTGTGGTGTTGCAAACATTGGTATTGAAATCCATATGGAAAAATACTCTTCTAATGCATTAAGTGCATTGTTTCCAGCAAATTCTGTTTCTGAAAGTTGCCAAAGTAGCTTGTTTGTCTTTTAAGGCAGTTTGATGAGTAAAACATGAATGTGTCTGTCATGAGAAGTTTGGGAGGAGCTCAGTTGTGGTCTTTGAGTTAGCGACAGTCAAATCTGCCTTGCATAAATGACATTAAACTTCAAGATATGAGAATATTTTGCTGGCTTACTGGGGGTTATTTTACAGAATTATAAATGTTGAACTTGGTTTTAACCTCTTCCTTGAATTAAGTGCCCTGCTATGTCATATGCCTCCTCAGAGCAGCTTTGTAAAGACAATTCTTCCAAATAGATTTTGATGTTCAAAGCAACATCTTTCCTGAAAAAGGAAAATCCTACTGTTCAACATCGCTTACAGTTATCTGGAAGTAAGGGGAAATGAAACACGTTAGATTTTATTGCTCTCAGTGTTTTTGTGATGGTCTTGTTGGTATGACCTGAGCACTTGCAGTAAAAGGCCTCATCTGGAATTCCTTATTTAGGGAAAAAGAGCCATTACCTCAGTGGCATTTTGCTCAGAGTAGTGATAAAGCATTGGGCCTGAAATTATAAGATAGGAGAAATGAACATGGGGAAGATATTTCTACTCAGAGGGGTTAGATGAAAGTACCAAGCTCTGGGCTGGATGCTGCTAAAGGAAACAGGCTCAAGACTGAATAAATGGAGTTTCTCCAGTATCTTGTCTTTTTTTTATTCCTTGACATACATATTGTCTGTGGATTTGTGTAATGGCCTAATGCTGCTGCGGAGTGACAGAGTTATGCCTGCAATTGGTTATACAAATAAGTAACTATCTACATTTTGACTGTGACAATGTTTACAATAAGAAGTTGTGGACCAAAGTACCAGTTAAGACTTTGCAAATGAAAGGGACGAAGTGAGGAGGGCCTGTGTCAGCACAGGAATTTTCTAGGGTTTAAAGTGAATGCAGAAGAGTAACTGTCACAGAGCTGGAAAAAGCATAGAAGGATTAGCTCATCTCTCCCACAGGATGGCATATTGTACATGGAGGATAAAATGAGTATTTGAATTGATTCAAACTATGTATTACTGTGCTTTTCACATATTTAGCACTAATTTTAAAGGTCCTGTATGGATCAGTGAGATGAAACCTCCTCTGCCTCCCCTCTGGAGGACACGTGTGGATTCTGCTGCCGTGTCTCAAGACGTTGACACGTTCCAGTGTCGTCGAACTTCATGGCCTTCACTCACTCAGGAGGGGAACATGCCAGATGTATTTTAGATTTCTGAGGCTCTGAGAACACTTAAAGACACTCGGTTACTTACAAAACATTAGGATGTTTTTAACTGAGTCTTCTAATCTAACTTAATTAGTCTGAGGTTATTGATGATTACTGTATTTTGATAAGGGCTTACTGCTTTTAACAATATTCTTAATTTGAATTCAATACCAATCCCTCAATGGCAGAATCTGTTCCAAAAAGGCAGTCCACCTGAAAAAAATCAATATTACTTTTTCTAACAGTAAATATTTATTAAATATTTATTTTTTGCTTGCTGAATGACAGCTCATAGGGCTTATACGAAGCTCGTACAGCTTAAACTGTTGTAACAATAGTTGTTCTCAAGAAGCTGACATCTAAGGCATGGGGTTACCTTTAAAGGCTTCTAATGCTAAAGAGTAAGGGCTTTTTACCCCTATAAAGTCTACTCTACCAGGGTTTAGAAGGACCGGGGGCAGAGAAGCAGAAATGTGAATGTGTTAGCAAAGTGAAAGCAGAGTGCAGAAGTTCCCCATCTGTACGACTGAATATTGCATGGGTTTGAGAACAGTTTCTGTCGGCTCTTTGTGTGCTGAAGTTCATACCCATTTGCAGTGGCATGTGTGTTTGCAGAGTCATCATGGGCTGCCAACGACTGTGCTCCACTTGGTGCAGCAGGAATTACGTGTTATCAAGAAAATGCAACAGTTTGTGGGAATGCTCTGACACAAAATACTCCAATACTTAATGATGATTTCAAAGAGTATTGCCATGGGGACCCCCCTACTGCTGTTCGTGTGCAAGCAGAGCCCTGGCTCTGCTATGGCAGCGCCCAGGTTCTGCTGCAGTTCCTGAGCCATTAGTGAGCAGCAGGGAAGCTCATCAGTGAAGTCACAGATTGTCTCACAGCACTAAGACCTAGCAAATCAGTTCAGGCCTTAAAAAAAGGGTGAATCCCGTGTTCAGGGTCACTATCAGACTGATTTTTTGGGCTATTTTTTGGCTTTCTCTAAAGACTGACGTGGACTGAGTTTAGGGGGGAGCTTTTTCTGGAGTGTAGCATGGTCTACAGTGCTCCAAAGGCATGTGAGCACCTACTTCATGGTAAAGAGGAGGTGTGCTTCCAAATCTATGAGCCTTATTTAGGGCTTTCAATTTTCTACATAATTTTTAGTTTTTCTTCTAGTGGTGTATTAAGTTAAGGGTTCTTTCTTATGCTACTTACCTCCACATTGATTTTTGCAGGGCCCTTAAAAATTGTGGCTATTAGAAATAATATGGAAAAGGCTGAGCTGTCTCAGGAAAAAAAAAAGCTGGATGACAGTACGCAAAACGCTTGGATTCTGAAACTTCAGTTCCTTGTCAAGTGTGTGTAGGTGACTGATGAGTGTCAGAATAGTCATCAACTTAATAGTCATTGCTAAGTGCCATATGTGGAATAGATCAGGCGTTTTACAATTTGTCAGCATTAACCACTATTTTCTTTCTCCAAGGTAAAGCAAACTGAAATTTTACAGTATCAGAGGGTACATGTAGTACTCC